GAATGAGGATGAGGAGGAGGAGGAGGAGGAGGACGATGAAGTGGAACAGTCCTTCGGTGACGATCAGGAGATCGTGGGGGAGGAGGAAGCGGAGGACAATCCATTCCTGTCCGACGATGAGGATGTGGAGGAGGTGTACTTCATAGACAAGCCCGTGCACTAGTCTAGATAGAGTAGGAAAGTGCGTGTAGCTGTATCATTTTGGAAAATAGTGCACTGTTAATAGCAACCCTGTTTTTGAGCTGTGAACCCTGTCCGGTCAGAGTTGGACTTCATGTGACACTGAGCAATCAGGGTAGCTACCTTGCGAAAAATGTGCCCTCATAATAGAGGGTCAAATTTTTTACTGGAATCAGGGAGTCCTAAAACGAAACGTCAGCCCTGCATAGCACTAGCTAGCTCGCACGCACTGCGTTACCGTTTGCATGTTTCGCGTATAAATGTTCGCTCATGCCTTCGCTCACATCTTTGTACTCGTTTGACACCTTAGTGCAATTCTCGCTTCTTCGATTCATTGCACCCGTAACACTTGGTATTCAGAGCCCCTTTCTTTCGGATCGCATATTTCCGCACCCCAGGAAATCAACTTTTGATTTTTCACTCGAAGGGACTCACATACCTTAGCACCTAGGAGCCGTTGTCCTCGCGTTCTCTCGTAAACGCATGCAGCCACGACTGCGCCTAGACTAAGACGAGCCGACGCCCTTCGAAATGGCTGAACATATCGACGTCACGACTCTCACGCAGGAGCACTTGAACGATTTGCTGCGACAAATCCGCGAGAGCGCCGAGGAAATCGCGACGCTGACGGCAGAACGCTCGTCCCTGGAAAACGACCTCACACGAGCACAATCCCAAGCACCTGGCACTCAGATTCGGCCCGCACCACAAACATCACAGCACGGAAGTGTGGGGCAACCCGCGAGCGCCGCAAGTGATGGCGTCGTCCACCATGACGGACATGGCGACCACGGCACGACACACCCCGACGCGACGAATGCGGCCAGGACTCAGCCTCAAGTCACGATTTCAGTGCTGGCCGGCGAATCAAATTTTCCGTCGCCGATGCCGCTAAAGCCGCAGCGTCAGCCATGCTTTGACCCAAGTCAGCGGGGTGGTCCTACCGTTTAGGCGTGGCTCTTCACGTTGAACGTTTTCTTCGACGCGAACTACGTCTCGAAGGATACTGCAAAGATTCATTACGCCGTGTCATTGCTGCGAGGACCCGCCATGGACTGGTGGTGCGTCATTGTCACGAAGCCGGCGGACTACGCGACTCTACCGACAAGAGAAGGACAAACCGGACCCTGGGCGCCGTTGAGAAAACAAGAACGAGGAATGGGATGACTAAGTGAAAGTTGGGTGCAAATACAAACCCCTAGAAAGTTGTACCCCATATGTGCTACCCCACAATAGCCTACAATAGCTATGTCATATAAATCTGACACGCCCCCATAGGCAAACTAGGGAAGAACAAGGGGTCACAAGACCAGTCAAGTAAAGCAAAACAAAGCAAGCTCAGGGTGGATCACAACGTCACCACACATTTCGAGCACAAGGTCAAGGCCACAAGGCCAGTTCACATGCAGGAGTACACATATATATAAAAGGCTAGACAAGCAAGAGCAGGCATATATATATATGTAACAGTACAAGCAAGGTCAAGAGGTGAGCAAGTGAGGCAAGGCAGGCACAAGACCCAGCTGAGTACAGAAGCGCTGATGATCACAAGGCGCAAGTGCCTTGGTGAAGATATCAGCAGTGTTGGCCTCAGAGGCCACGTACGCAAGACGCAGCTGACCACGCTGCTGTAGCTCACGAGCAAGGAAGTAGCAAAGAGCAATGTGCTTCGCTCTGTGATCCAGTCTCTGCTCTCAACACAAGGCCAGCATGGCCTTGTTGTCTACGTACAACACTGGAGGAGAACGAGGCAGCTCTCCGAGGTCAGTCAGAAGGTAGGTCAGCCAGCGAAGCTCCTAAGAAGCCATGGCCCCGGCGTAGATCTCAGCCTCACAACTGGAGCCAAGAACAGAAGATGAGCGGGTAGCCCGCAACGAGACAGAGCCGGAACCGAGGCTGAATGTGTAACCCTGTGACGACCGCTGCGTAGCCTGGTTGTCAGCCCAAGAAGCGTCTGCGTGCCCAGTGAGGACCACTGGACTCTGCCCTCCAAGCACAAGCTCCATGCCCAACGTACTGCACAAGTAGCGCAACACCCTCTTCGCTGCAGCCATGTGCTATGGCCGGTGTCTCCCAGGAGCAACATAACGTGCCAAGATGCTAAGAGGGTATGCACGGTCAGGTTGTGTGCAAGTCATCAGGTACATGAGGCAGCCAACAAGCTCTAGGTACGGGCCACTCGACTCTACGGACTCATCCGAAGGCAGAGCTGAGAGCGAGTGGCGAGTAGGCAGAGGAGTGGCCTGAGGCGAGGAGTACATGAAGCCGAATCGCTGAAGGACCTGCTGCACCATGTGTGACTGAATCAGGGTAATGGTACGGCGTGCTCTGTCCTGGGTGATCTGCAAGCCAAGGTAGCTGCGCAGTTCACCCAGGTCTGTGCACGTGTGTCTCTTCTGCAGCTCGGACTTCACGTGGGCGAGTCCAGGAGTGTCAGCTGTGGCAAAGACCAAGTCGTCGTGCAGGCTACCGTGCAAGAAAGCAGTGCTGAAGTCAAGAGAGTGAAGCTCGTAGTCGCGCTGAGCGGCTATGTGCAGTAGCACCCGAAGAGTGGTCATCTTCGGGGTGGGAGAGAAGGTCTGAAAGTAGTCAACTCCCTGCCGCTGTCTGAAGCCTCGAGCCATGTAACGCGCCTTGAAGACAGGTGGAGAACCCGGCGGCCGCTTCACCCTGAAAATCCACATGCCACTGACGATGCTCGCTCCAGGCGGGGGAACCTCGTCAACATAGGTGCCTGTGGACTTCCAGGAAGCCATCTCTGCGTCCATAGCTGCCTGCCACTGAGAGGAGTAGGGACCCTCTATCGCCTTTGCGTAAGAGCGCGGAGTCGGGATGTCAAGTGCATCCGGGTCTCCCTTAGGGGTAAGCAGTACGGACACGAGATGAGGTGAAGCAGCAGCCAGACACTGGAACTCTTCCAGCCTGTCCTCAAGGACGTCCGTGCCAAGGGCACACTCACCCCCGACGGACGGAGGATAGACAGACGCAGACTCAGCAACAAGACTAGCAGCGTAGTCTATACGACAGCGAGCAGTAAAGTCGACGAGCTCAGCAACTAGGGGAGACGCATTAGTAGACTCAAAGGAAGGGTCAGTGACGACAGTAGCAAGGAGATGCGTGACAGTAGGACTGGCAGCACGAAGAGAGTCCGACTCCGGGTCGGCAAGAGCAGGAAGAGAGGACTCAGGAGGAGAAGGCAAAGGGGCACGTAGAGGAGCAGTGGACGGACGCAGAGACATCCGGTGCATGCTAGGGACAGGAGGAGGACGCTGACGCGAACCGCGACCACTAGTGCGAGCAGTACGGACAGGCGACGCAGGGTGAGACGCAGGCTTACGACGCTCAGCAAGACCTCCAGTAGGACCAGTGTAGGGAGAAGGAGCAGGCACTGGGGAGGCCGGCTGTAACTATAACCGGGACAGGACAGGCTGTGGACACTCTAAGGGAGGAGGAGGACTAGTAGAAGGCGGGAGACCAAGAACCTGCTGAAGAAGCGGAACGAAGTACGGCCGAGGATGCGCGGCGACTCCAGACACAGCACGGACAGCACCAGTACCCCCAGCAGCAGCACCAGCGCCAACAACACCTCCAGCTCCAGGACGTCCAGCAGCACAAGTAGCATGCCCAGTAGGACCGCCTCCAGGACCGACAGTAGTAGCCTCAGCGCCAACACCCGCAGCAGCTCCAGCTCCAGTCGTACCCGCAGGCCCAGCAGCTCTAGTACTCCCAGTACGAGCACCTCCGGGACCCGCGGCACCGGCACCCTTAGCAGCCGAAGAAACTCCAGCTACAGCAGCACGCCTCCAGCCCCGGGCAAACCAATCGCGCAGCTCCTGTGGAGAGAGTGGCTCCCGCCAAGACGAAGCACCCGGAGAACCTCCAGGCCCAGCACCGCCAGACGCCACACGAGCAAGCCCAGCTCCCGCAGGCTCCTCACCCCCGGACTCAGCACCTCCAGACGTGGCACCCCCAGGCCAGCACCTCTAGATGTAGCACCCCCAGGCTCAGCACCCCCAGGCTCAGCACCCCCAGTCTCAGCACCCCCAGGCTCAGCACCCCCAGTAGTAGCACCCGTAGCCTCAGCACCCCCAGGCGTAGCACCCACATGCTCAGCACCCCCAGAGTCAGCACCCCTAGGCTCAACACCCCCAGCAGCACCAGAGTCGCCCGAGCCGTCGGGGTGCCGCACGCCGAGCTGCAGTTGCCGCCGAGCCGCCGTACCGCCGAGCCGGCCGAGCCGCCGAGTCGCCGAGCCGCAGTTGCCGCCGAGCCGCCCGAGTCGCCGGAGCCGCCGAGTCGCCGAGCCGCCGAGCTGTAGTTCCTGCCGAGCCGCCGAGCTGCCCGAGCGGCCCTGTCCGGTAAGAGCAGCGCCTCTACCACTGCACTGCCCTTACCCCATTGTTCACACTACTAGTCTACTACTGTCATGGCTACCCCTAGTGTCCTCGCTTTTGACGATGAGGGTGGGGCCATTGACTTTGACGTCTGGGTAGATGACCTTCTGCTGATGTTGACGCCATTGTTCGCTCACAGTGGGCCACACGCGATGCTGCTGCACGTCTTGCTGTGCGTCGCCACCTGCCTACCTCTTAGCGTGCGCACTTTAGCCAGTACAAGACTGCTCAGACCTTGTACGACGCTGTAGTTGCACGCTACTCCTCCTTTGCCACTGCTACACTGAGCCGCCTCATGCTAGCGTACCTCTTCCTTGACCTTGCTGCCTCTCCCACAGTCGCTGACCTCATTACGCACCTCCGCACTAGTGACACTCACTACCGCGCTGCGCTTCTTGCTGAGTTCTGCGCCAAGAACACCCCCCCATGTACATCACCCTCTACTACATAGTTACTCGGCTCCCTGACTCTCTTCCCGTAGTCCGGGACCACTTCCTCTCAATTTGCCCCACCATTCTCACCGTTGACCTCCTCGAGAAGGCCCTCCTAGAAACAGAGAAGAGCATAGTCGCTGTAGGAGCCTCCCATGGTAACCCTCGCACCCCCATCTTTGAGGGGTGTCCCCCCTCCCCCCTTTTGCCCTCTGTTGCCTCTACTGCTGCGGCCGACCTCGTTGGGCTTGAGTCGGTCGGTGCGGCGTCTACCCCTAGCAGGAGACGCCGCAGCGGCAAGGGCAAGGGGGACAGGGGCGCTGGAGGGGCTAGCGGGGGCGGTGGAGGCGGCGGTGGAGGCAGCGGCGGGAGTGGGGGTGGCGATGGGAGTGGTGGCGGGAGTGGAGGTGTCGGTGGCAGCAGTGGAGGCGGAGGCGGCGGCGGCGGTGGCGGTGGGAGCGGAGGTGGCGCAGGTGGCGGCGGTGGAAGAGGCGGTGGTGGAGGAGATGGAGCTGGTCGGGGTGTCGCTGCGCAGAGGGTCGGCTCCGGTGGTGGTCCGCGCCAGCAGCAGCAGCAGCGCACTCGTGACATCCCCCCCCCTCAGCAGCTCCGTGAGTGGTACGCTGCACGTCAGCGGGGTGGGGGTACTGGTCCGTGCACCTATGTCCTAGGCACCGGCGACCGCGCGGGTGAGCATTGTGGTGGTGCGCACCCCACCCAGTGCTGCTTTGGCCGCCTGACGGATGCTTGGCGTCACCAGTTCCCGGAGGCCACTGAGATCCCCCGCTGGGGTGAGCTGTCTAGGGCGGGAGTAGCTATCTTTGGCCTTGACTTTGATGCTATTCTTGCTGCCATGTATGCTGTGACTATTAGTGATGAGGGTGACTGTTACCGGTGTTTCCCGCCCAACCCGGGCATTGAGACTGCTGCTCTAGGTACTGGTGAGGCTGCTGCTCTAGGTGCTAGCGAGGCTGCTGCTCTAGGTGCCAGTGCGTCTGCTTCCTCAGGTGCTGGTGAGTCTGCGCTCTCAGGTACCGCGTCGGCTTCGGCCTCCCTCACCTTCACCCTTGACTCGGGGGCGTATCGCTCCTTCTTTCGAGACCGCACCACACTCACACCACTTGGTCGGCCAGTTGCAGTCTCTCTGGCAGACCCCTCTAGGGGTCCTGTCCTTGCTCACTTCTCCACTGTCCTCCCGGGTGCGGCGCCTCCCTCTGGCACCTTGTCTGGTCTCTACCTCCCCTTGTTCTCTACGAACTTGGTGAGTGGTGCTGACCTACAGGATGGGGGAGTTCACCAGTTCACTCCTGCGAGCCAGCGGGTGACCCACTGCACGGACGCTCGGACGGGCCGACACTTGGCCACGTTTAGACGTCGGCCGGGGTCGAGCCTGTACACACTGACCACTGCATCTCCTCCTGTCCCTGCATCTGGTCAGGTAGCTGCGTTGGGTCAGGTGTTTGCTGCAGCGTCCAGGTCTGGTCCTGAGTCTGCCCCCTGCTCATGTCGCCTCCTGTCTCACGAGACTCTCCTATGGCACCACCGCCTTGGTCACCCCTCTCTTCTTCGTCTCCGAGGCATGGCCTCCCGTGTCATTGGCTCTGATACCATGAGAAAACTAGAACGAGGAATGTGATGACTAAGTGAAAGTTCGGTACAAATACAAACCCCTAGAAAGCTGTACCCCATATGTGCTACCCCACTATAGCCTACAATAGCTATGTCATATAAATCTGACAGCCGTCGTATTTCATGGAGGTGCCCCAGTATCGCATGTGGGACGCGTGGTGCGCAGGTCTGCGCGCTCGTTTCGAGCCAATCGCGGCTTCGATCGCGGCGCGACAGAAGCTCCGCACTTGGCGCCGACTCGGTTCCGTCCAAGACTACACGAGCGGATTTCTGGCGCTGTGTGAACAGGTGGGACATATGCACGAGAGCGAGCGCATCGACCACTACATCGGCGGCATGAAGCAGGACATAGCTCAGGAAATCCAGCTTAGCGGTGTCACCGACTTTCAAGAAATTCTCGCTATGGCGGAGAAACGTGATTTATTCCGCCGATAGAGACCGGGGTCCTACGGAAGCAGCCATTGGGGACATCGGCCTTGTGAGACGAATGAGGGCACCACAATACGTGCCGTCGCCGCAAATGCTGTTGCCGCATCGTTCACAGGGCGTTGCTTTGCGTGCAATCGGCCGGGACATCGCAAGAGCGAATGCCCGGAAAACGCTAAGAGAAAGGGGGAAGCTAAGCAGCAGAAGTAGACCAAGCAGCAGGGGAAACGCTGGGAGTCAGTAGCAGACGGGCCCTCTACTGACAGGTTACGCTGCTCGCCCGACCCAACCGACCCTCACCGAGTGATTGTGCCGGTTCACGCAATCGACCACACCCGGCCAAATAAGGAGGGTACTACTGTAGATAGCCCCATACTGCTTAGTGGGAAAATTGGGACGGACTTAGTAAAAATCTTCGTAGATGGGGGAGCCAGCCACAGCCTCATCAACACTGCCACAACACGAAAACTGCGACTTCCACTGGGCAGATGTTTACCTGAGATCGACGCAAGACTGGTAGATGGCACGCCGTTTGCGATACGGGAACGTATAGACCGGGTCCGGATTCGATGTGGGGGTAACTTCACGTTTAGCCAGGAAATGCTTGCAACAACCCTCAACGGAATCGATATTTTACTCGGGCGTGATTGGCTGCGACGACACAATCTGCGAATCGACTGGACGACGGGTGACTGCTCCGTGCGAGTTAACGGTAACAACATCGCCTTATCTCGCTGGGGCTCGCATGAGTCTTCGTCGGTGCGTGTCAACGCGATCACGATGAAACGCGCCGTAGCGGCAGGAGCTTACGTGTACGGGGTCGACATTCAGGAAGCCGAGGCAGCAGACAAAGGAGGGGATTTACAGAAACTGTTGGCCGACGTACCGAGTGATCTGGCAACACTGTTGAAGCAGTACAACGACATTTTCCCAGACGATTTACCGACCAGACTGCCACCTCAGCGACTGCACGACCACAGGATAGAGTTAGAACCAGGGGCACAACCAGCAGTACAGCGATAGTTCTGACTGACCCAGCCCAAACTGGACGAACTGTGGAAGCAGCTCGATTACCTGCTCGAGAAGGAGTTCATTCGCCCTAGTTCGTCGCCCTTCGCAGCACCGATACTGTTCACACCAAAAAAGACGGGGGATTTCGCATGAGCATAGATTACAGAGCACTGAATAGGGTTACCATAAAATCCCATTATCCCATCCCGCGAGCTGACGAAGTGATCGACCAACTGCGCACAGCCCGGGTTTTCTCGAAAATCGACCTCCGAGGGGGTTACCACCAGATTCGCGTCAATCCACCCGACTGCCTTAAGACCGCATTTCGCACATACTACGGATCCTTCGAATACACCGTCATGCCCTTCGGATTGACCAACGCCCTCGCCACTTTTCAAATGACCATGAACGAAGCTTTCCGCCCGCTCTTAGATAAGTGCGTCATAGTATACCTGGACGACATACTGATTTACAGCCGTGACAGAGCACAACACTTACAGGACATCGAAGCAGTTTTTATAATATTGAGTGAGAACCGCCTACTGACAAAAGCGTCTAAGTGTGAGTTTTTACAAGACCGCATGGAATTTTTGGGACACGTTATTTCGGCTGCAGGAGTGGAAATAGACCCGCAGGAAATTGCGACGATTCAAGCATGGCACGCGCTGACCAACTTGACCGAGTTGCAGAGTTTTTTGGGGTTCGTCAACTACATGCGCCGGTTCGTCCCCGACAAGGCGAAGCGGACTGCCCCGCTGACAGACCTGCTGAGGAAGGGGGTTGAGTACACGTGGGGGGAGAAAGAGCAAGCTGCCTTCTCGGCCCTCAAAAACATTTTGTGCTCACCGCCCTGTCAAATTATAATGTTGTGTAGGCTGTAGTGGGGTAGCCTGTATGGGGTACACATTCCTAGGGTTGCATATTTGTACCACTTTCATTCCTTAGTCTACTCATTCTCGTTTCAGTTTTCTCATGGTATCGAGCAGGTTCCCTCGTGGGAACTAAGCCTAGGGCCCACCAAGTATATTTTTTTTTTCCTGCCCGGAGCGCGCTCATCCCGAGTCGCGCTCCCCTCTCTGACTTCATCGAGCCGCCCTAGCAGCCACGTCGAGCCGCCTTAGCGGCCCCTGATTCGTCGCCCTAGCGACCCCGTCGCCCTACCTACGGCCCCGGCCCCATCGCCCTACCTGAGCCTCGGCCCCGTCGCCCTACCTGCGCCTCGGCCCCATCGCCCTACCTGCGCCCCGGCCCCGTCGCCCTACCTGCGCCCCGGCCCCGTCGTCCTACCTGCGACCCCGGCCCCGTTGCCCCACTGCGACCCTGGCCCCGCCGCCATCCATGCGGCCCCGGCCCTAGCCCCGTCGCCCTACCTGCGCCCCGGCCCCGGCCCCGTCGCCCTACTTGCGACCCCGGCCCCGTCGCCCCACCTCCGACCCAGGCCCTCTCGCCCTACCTGCGCACTGGCCCCGGCCCCGTCGCCCTACCTGCTTACCGGCCCCGTCACCCTACCTTCGACCCGGCCCCGTCACCCTACGTGCGGCCCCGCCGCCCTACCTCCAGCCCCGCCGCCTTACCGACGGCCCCGCCGCCCTACCTGCGGCCCCGCCGCCCTACCAGCGGCCCCGCCGCCCTACCTGCGGCCCCGCCGCCCTACCAGTGGCCCCGCCGCCCTACCAGCGGCCCCGCCGCCCTACCTGCGGCCCCACCGCCCTACCAGCGGCCCCGCCACCCTACCAGCGGCCCCGCCGCCCTACCAGCGGCCCTGCCGCCCTACGCAGTCGAGCCGCCCACACCGCCCGAGCCGCCTGAGCCGCCCGTTCCGCCCGAACCGCCCGAGCCGCCCGAGCCGCCCGAGCCGCCTGAGCAGCTGAGGAGCCGAGCCGCAGGTGCCGCCGAGCCGGAGTTGCTGCCGAGCCGCCTGAGTCGCCCGAGCCGCCGTGTTGCCGAGCTGCTGTGCTGCCGAGCTGCCCGAATCGCCCTGTGTGGTGAGAGCAGCGCCTCTGTCACTGCACTGCCCCTACCCTACAGTTAGCGCTGCTAGGCTACTGCTGTCATGGCTACCCCCAGTGTTCTCACTTTCGACGCTGAGGGTCGGGCCATTGACTTTGACGTCTGGGTAGATGACCTCCAGCTTTTCCTATAGTGCGATAGGGCAGACAGTCTCTCCCTCTTTGACCTCACCTCTGGTGCCTCCCCTGCCCCTGCTGCCGATGTCGACGCCACTGTTTACTCACAGTGGGCCACTCCCGATGCTGCTGCACGTCTTGCTGTGCGTTGCCACCTGCCTACAACTGAGCGCGCACACTTTAGTCAGTACAAGAGTACTCAGACCTTGTACGAGGCTGTAGTTGCGCGCTACTCTTCCCCTGCCACTGCTGCACTGAGCCGCCTCATGCTACCGTACCTCTTCCCTGACCTTGCTGCCTTTCCCATAGTCGCTGACCTCATTACGCACCTCCGCACTAGTGACACTCGCTACCGCGCTGCGCTTCCTACTGAGTTCTGCGCCAAGAACCCCCCCCCCCCATATACATCACTCTATATTACATAGTCGTCCGCCTCCCTGACTCCCTTCGTGTAGTCAGAGACCACTTCCTCTCAGTCTGTCCCACCACTCTCACTGTTGACCTCCTCAAGAAGGCCCTCCTAGCAGCGGAAAAGAGCATAGTCGCCGTAGGAGCCTCTCGTGGTGACCCTTGCGTCCCCATCTTTGAGGGGTGTTCCCCTTCCCCCCTTTTGCCCTCTGTCGCCTCTGCTGCTGCGGCCGACCTCGTTGGTCTTGAGTCGGTCGGTGCGGCGTCTGCCCCTAGTGGGAGACACCGCTCTGGCAAGGGCAAGGGGGTTAGGGGCGCGGGAGGAGCTAGCGGGGGTGGTGAAGGTGGCGGTGGAGGCAGCGGAGGGCGTGGGGGTGGCGGTGGGAGTGGTGGAGGGGGTGGAGGTGTCGGTGGCGGCAGTGGAGGCGGAGGCGGCGGAGGCGGTAGCAGTGGGAGCAGAGGCGGCGGTGGTGGCGGAGGTGGAGGAGGCGGTGGTGGAGGAGGTGGAGCTGGTCGGGCTAGTGCTACGCAGCGGAGCGGCTCCGGTTTTTGTCAGCGCCAGCAGCAGCAGCAGCGTTCTCGGGACATCCCCCCACCTCAGCAGCTTCGTGAGTGGTACGCTGCACGTCAGCGTGGTGGGGGTACTGGTCCGTGCACCTACGTCCTACGCACCGGCGACCGCGCGGGTGAGCACTGTGGGGGTCTACACCCTACCCAGCGCTGCTTTGGCCGCCTGATGGCCCTTGGTGTCACCAGTTCCCGGAGGCCACTGAGATCCCTCCTGGGGTGAGCTGTCTAGGGCGGGTGTAGCTATATTTGATCTTGACTTAGATGCTATTCTTTCTGCCATGTATGCTGTGACGATTAGTGATGAGGGTGACTGTTACCGGTGTGTCCCGCCCGACCCGGGCATTGAGACTGCTGCTCTAGGTACTGGTGAGGCTGCTGCTCTAGGTGCCAGTGAGGCTGCTGCTCTAGGTGCCAGTGCGTCTGCGTCCTCAGGTGCAGGTGAG